TTTGGAAGAATTTGGTTTAGGAAAACAGATAAAGGGTTAAAGGGGTAAAGGGTAGAGGTGTCGTGGTCGAGTGGATAAGTCACCGGACTGTGGATCACAAGGTCCGCGGTTCAAGTCCCGCCGCGGCACTAATGTCCTTTGGCAAGACATTGATCTACATTTGCCACTCTCCACCCAGGTGTTAAAATGGGTACCCGGTAGGATGCGAAAGCTAATGTGGTTTGATTAGCAAGTGGCGCTTGTAAAATGGCGACTGGCTGGAATGCTCCCCAGGGAGTGGAGAATGTGCATACCTTGTGTGCGGGTAAGCCTGAATCCGATGACCGGGGTAATAATATGTTCCGCGCCTAGAAACGTAGTATTAGGCGCATTATAAATGTGAGCTATTATTATTATTATTATTACTCGTATTAATTTCTTACCAGCCTGCCGTTACAAGGGTAAGAGGCGGCCAGGGGTGACCCTAGTCTGATGTGACACTACCATTCAACATTTCTGTCGGCAAATCTGTAATTTTCGCTGATAATTATCTAAATTTGAAAACATTCTTACCCCTGGAACTTTCATTTGTTCATTTTCTTTTCTTGTACAAATACAAGAGGCATACTTTTGAAATTGCAGGTTCCGCGTATCGCTGGAACAAACATCGAACATGTCCTCCTTTTGAAAATTTAAATCGAAAACCACATGTTGAGTTTCATGTTATGTAAACTCGATTTGTCCCTATCATGTGTTATAGTGAATAACAAATTCAATTAATCTCCAAACAAACAGTCAATTCATGTTTTTCCTTTCCCTCATTATCCCGTTCTTCCTCATCGTTATCTTAAAATCATGATAAAGGTCGAATTACATAATCGTCATGCCAAGAAGACGGCTTTCACCTCCTCATCTGAGTTGCCATGGCAATCTTAGGATTCGATCTTTTGATCCCTATTGATTACTCAATGAGTAATTAGAATCCATACAAGTACCTTCTGATGTTGCAGAGCAAGTGATGTAGCATGGGCATAGTCACTGAGGGGGGGGGGGGATAGCACAACAAATAACCAAAGCAGTCATTATTACTATATTATTACCTATAAAAGGCATTTACGCTGCTAAATAAAAAGTCGTATTTTGCACGCTGCTAAATAAAAAGTCGTATTTTGCACGCTGCTCCGAATATGAAACCGGAGCGGTGAATATTTGCCATATTGCCCTCTTCCGGGTTTCCCCCGTAGACCCCTGTACTAAATCAGAGGGCAATATTATGTTAGGCGTTAAGTGTACGCACGGTAATAATTACACGGAGTAACAATCATTGTTGCGTCACAATGACATACCTGCCTGAATGTCCTGAAATCAGATGGACCGGCAAACAGACGGGAGTAAAAAAATCAGGCTTGATACCAAAGTTGTATATAAATAATTTGCTTTAAAATACCTTGTTTAGGTAATAATAATTATATTGACTGGGGTTCTTTCGGGCTTGGTCAATATTTATGATATACCGCTCAAGCCCAGTAAATTTAATATAAATATTGAAGCCCTACAAAAAATGCGCCTCCAAATGAGTGCCTTATCTTGATAATCAGACAGACGATCGGCTTGTAAAAGTCACGGGGTTCCTGACTGACCTAAAGATTTTTAATTATGATTGCAGCATGAGCTAAATTCAGGGTTTTGTTTCAGAATCTGAGACAAAGTTACCAAATCCCTTTAATACACCCTATTCATTCTACTAAATGAGTTGGGTTGTGTTGGGCATTTTCGCTTAATGTATATACGCACACTAAATTTGGCACTAATGAAAAATACGTGAAGAGCAATCTTTGCTTTTTCAGAAAATAATATAAGATTTTTCAAGAAGTTTCTGCAAAAGAGAAAAAAGGAGTGGAGCGCCATTGCCGCATTAATACTCGGGTCGTTCTTTTTTGGGGTATTATTCTCCATTTCTCTCTCTCTCTCTCTCTCTCTCTCCTTCCCTCTCTCTCTCTCTCTCTCACTCGCTCTCTCTTGTTGTTCCTTCCCTTCCCTTTCCCCTTTACACACCTCTTTGCGTATTCATATCTCGCTCTCCCTTTATCTCCTTTATCTCTGACCGGCTGCGTGTATTTATCACAATAATATAAAACAAACGATTTTGAAAGTGGGTCAATGTTTTCTTGATCCATTTTCGTTGTCAAAGTTTAGATTTGGTGGAATTATGAACAGGCATTTGGGGTTCTCAAATAAAAATAAAAAAAACTTTAATGTCCTAGGGTGAAAAGGGGATATTCCCTTTGTCGAGTGATAATTCCTTCCAATGAAAGAAGAAATCAAATCTTTACAAAATATATATAATCAAAATTATTTAGAGAAAGAAAGGTGTATGGATACATTAATCTGCTCGTCTGCATTAGTTTGGCTATATAGGGGGGGGGGGGGGGATTATACTCCCTGCATGGTCACTGACAGGTGGTTATTTCATCAAATCAGCTCTCAATTAACATAAGAAAAAGGGGATCATGGGGACCAACATGCACCGATTAGGCATTGTTTGCTATATACAGTGTGTCCCAGAAAAAACGAAACCGAGAATTATCGACGTTTTATCATTACTTAGTCACATTTATAATTAATAAATGACACATATTTGGAAAGCTTAGATCCTCCTCTTTTATTTGATGCAACTCAAACGATGCATATTTAACGCATGAGTGAATAAAATGAATTTGAAGTCTTTCGTCTACGGCCGATCGTCAACGAAATGGAGTTAAGTCTTTTGTCAATTCCGTTTGTTGCTAAGGTAGGCAGCCAGTGAAAACGAATTCGTTTGATAAAATTATGGAAATGCAAGCACTACTTTAATCATACAAAACTTTGTTATTCCTAGCTCATTTTTCGTGATTGAGGTGTCATATGAAAGGGCAGAAACTCAAGTTTCTAGAAATGTGATTTTCTCTTTGAAATTCAGATACCGTCCGCCAAATGAATTTTTGGTTTCCTCTCTTCAAATTCATTTCAATCACTCATGCGTGAAAAATGCATTATATGAGTTGCATCAAATGAAAGAGGAGGATCTAAGCTTTCCACATATGTGTCATTTATTAATTATAAATTCGACTAAGTTAAGATAAAACATCGATAATATTCTCGGTTTCGTTTTTTTCTGGGACGCACTGTATATAGCAAACAATGCCTAATCGGTGCATGTTGGTCCGCATGATCCCCCTTTTCTTATGTTAATTAAGAGCTGGTTGGTTCTTCGTTTAGATGGCGCTCTTCAATCTCAAAGATTATTTGCGCCATTTATTTGAGCTGTGTGTGTGTGTGTGTATTGGTTTTTACAGACGTGTATCAATCAGATCTGATTATTTACGTCTGGGGACCGACCTTTAACGTCACCATCCGAAAGACGTGACTCAGTTTCGAACCTGTGTCCTCGGCTGAATCAGTTTGTAACTTCCACTTTTAGCTGGATTACAGGCGCACGCCACAACGCCTAGCTGTGTGTGTGTGTATTGGGTTTTAACAGACGTGTATCAATCAGATATGATTATTTACGTCCTGGGACCGACCTTTAAACGTCACCATCCGAAAGACGTGATTCAGCTTCGAACCTGCGTCCTCGGCTGAATCAATTTGTAACTTCCACTTATAGCTGGATTACAGGCGCACGCCACAACGCCTAGCTGATTTGATGAAATAACCACCTGTAGAGGGCGCAAGTAGCTATAAGTACGGTGAAGTGGGGATGTACATACTACTGTTAGACCATGGACCTACAGTAGCTCCATGGTTAGACCCATCATACTCGAGATTATTCTTACCTGAATAATGCAGTGCAAATGCATTTACCTTATAGTTGAACATTTACTCATGGAGTCCACAGTTTGACATTTTCGTCTTGTATATTCACTTATCGCTAATGGTTTGTCTAATTATCATTTTGCTGGTATCTTGTATTATACCGTCCATACTATTTTTCCCTTCTTGTGAGACAGTGTTGCTATCATTGACGAGGCCATCCTGGTAAAAACACAAAAGACTGACTAAAACACGATAGCAACTAATTTCGAAAAAAAACCCCAACTTTACGTTAATTTCTTTGGCCTTGCGATTCGCTTATTGAAATGCGTGGACATGGCAATGACATATTACGTAATCAGAAAATGATTTGTATGGGACATACACTAGGGTATGGAACATACACTAGGGTATTGAATTGGTTGCGAATAGTTGAGATCGGTGTCATAAATAAATAAACTCGAAGTTTATCAGGAAATCAGACTTTTGTTTCACTTTCTACATGCCATTGTTTCCCTCTCTGATAACACGATACGAGAGCATTAATTGGACGAAGGCATTTATTAGTTCAACACAACAAGAATTGTGAGTCATAAACAAATCAAGTGCTCTTTTCCTGCTATCTACATGTTCATGTATATTCATTTAATAATACACCGTTGAGAACAAAAAAGGCGGTTATTAATGTGAGTCAGTCAGTCATTCTCGATCAGGTTTATAGTCTAGCGCCATCACAGTCTACGGTCGCGACAGTAAACAGACAATTACTTATCAAAATGCGATAACTCTCCTTCAATTTGAAGTCTGCATTGCCTCATTTTGTACCTACAGCTTATTCTTCTGTTCATAGAATATTTTGTTCATTATTCCAATAAATTTTCTTAACGAAAAGAAAGAAAATATTCATTATTTCAATATTCTTCTTATCAAACGGGAAGCAAAATGTGCTTCTTATCTCATTTACTTTACTTTCAGTTGGCTGTTCTCAGAAAGAGGCCCTCACACTTTCGATGCTTTTTATTCAAAAAAATATATGATGAGCCATCTCCACACCCCCCCTCCCCTGATTAGCCCATTCGATCTTACCTAATTGTTCAAGGGGGTCCGACAGTTGGCTGAATTTAACTTTTTTGGGGGAGTGGCTTACATTGTAACAATAGATCCAATTACAATAAGGTCCTACTATTTTTAAACTAATATTTTTAAATTAAACTAACTGATGGCGCTAGATTAATAAACTGGATGCAGTTCAAAGGAGGGCGGCACGCTTCGTAACAGGAAACTACCAAAGGGACAGCAGTGTCACACAAATGCAGACCTGCCTTGAATGGGAATCACTTGAACGCAGGAGGGAAAAGAGTCGTTTGGTTATGCTGTACAAAATCTACAAGCGAAAGGTGGGCCTAAAGCAAGAGGACTACATACAAGTATCAACAGGGTCAAGGTTAAGAAGAAACCACCATCACTCAATAGAAATCCCCTTTGCCAGAAAGGACGTATACAAATACTCCTTTTTTCCAAAAACTGGACGAGCATGGAATACCCTCGACCAGCAGTCTGTAATAGCTACATCAGTTGATAATTTCAGAAACACACTCTAGCATGCATCACCTGCCATACAAGTAAGCGACATGCGGAATACCGCCCTGCTGACTCCAATTTCAGAAGGTTCAGAAGGTAAGGTTACAGTAGATGAGCAACAACGCAAACATCGCAATGTGAGTATTAAAAGTCGCGACGATCTGACCCGTACGTCAACTGGAAATCACTAAGAGGACACTTTTTTTTTTTTTTTTTGGTCTCGAAATTTGGAAGTTTGACATTTTGACCCGTTGGGGGGGGGGGGGGTAAGGTCACCTTTTTTAGGTTGGCCATGGGAATTTTTTTTTTTTTTTTTTTTTAAATAAATAATTAAAAAAAAAAAAAAAAAAAAAAATCCAAAAGGGGGGGGGGGGGGGGGGGGGGGGGGGGGGGGGGGGGGGGGGGGGTTTTTAGGGTTTTTTTTTTTTTTTTTTTTTGGGGGGGGGGGTTTACACACAAAAAATTACCAAAGGGGGGGGTTTAACCCCCCAACCCCCCCCCCCCCCCCCCTGCGTACGCGCCTGTCGCTACTCCATTTTAATAGGTAACGCTCAAAATAAAATGCGACAAAGGCAACCTTCCCCCCCCCCCGCCCCTCGTGGTCGACCTTCTATAAACTAAACTTATAATCCGATTGTTATGTCGGATTCAACTATATACAAATCTCCTCCTTTAAACAATGCAGCTAGATCTCATGACCTTGTAGTAATGAGGCCGACAAAAGGAATCACTTTTGGTTGTAAACGTCAGACTGTCCCAAACGACCATTTCTCTTAAAGGGATTGGATCGCCAGTTTTCATGTGCAGAAGGCCATAATTCGCTGACACCAGACTTGGTGGAAATACCATTAATGGGGGTACAAATTTGCACACAGCAAACCCATAGTCCAGTCAAGAATTACCCCCTAATCTCTCGGAGAGCTCGAGAGTCTTCGGGCAAATCATAGCATTACATAAGGTCCAATGGTCATAAAACTCAAGGCTAACCCTGGTGATGGACAACACCTGTTATTGGGTAAACACCCGAACGGTGTCGAATTCCCCATGAGAGCCGACTACTCAGTGACTTTAATTACACGGGAAGAGAAATGACTCGAATTGTAGGGCAGCGATGGTCGAGTGTATCGAGTATCACGTGACTTAACCCGTTTGTCACGTGAGCTCTACGTAAACAAATAAAGCGAGTGTATTACGTATCACGTGATTTAATTACATTTCACGTGAGGTACTTGGCTATTGAAGGAAACATTGAGAACACGTCAGGAACAGATCTTTTTTTCTTTTAGTTTAAAGAGAAAAACAAAACAATCCATGGTAAACGGGATAGTTTGTGTACAATTGACGTAAGGACAAGCATGTTCTTTAGGTAAATGCGATTTGGATCCTCGATATCAAAAACGGAAACCCACAATCATAAATTGATTTACAGCACCGTAAACGCTGCTTAAAATAAACTGAAAAGGTGTAAGTATTACAGAGGAGTTGTCCCATGAAATCATGTTTAAGACACTGGCCTTTATAATTGTTTGTACAAAGTATTTTTTAGAGTACTTTTAACACATGTCTCAGATTTCATATTTTGAATTTTCCTCTAAATTTGTGTCTCTTTTTAAATTATAAATAGAAAGCATGTATACGCTGTATAAAAGGGAGCATCCATTGCATGTGCATGTACCTTATTTGTTTTGCAAGTACTTGTTATTAATAATTGACAATGGATATATTTGTATCACATAAATTGTACTCGCTGATATCGCCTTCTGTAAAAAAAAAAAAAAAAAAAAATAAAAAGGTATCCCTTAGCAATTACTACAAGTGTAACCAAATTAAAATAACATTAGCAGCATATTTTTTAGATTATGAAAACGATTGCCTGAAATTTTCTTTGTGTTACTGAGGTGAAAACAGGAAATACCTTGAGGGAATTGCACATGTCATCGACGTTTGTAATATTTCTGTGTTTATAGGGGAGAGAGAGAGAGAGAGAGAGAGAGATGAAGCAATGGAGACAGAAAGAGAGAACGAGAGAGTGAGTGAGACAGACAGACAGACAGGCAGAGGGACAGAGGTAGAGAAAGAGAGAAAGAGAGAAAGAGAGAGAGATTGTGGGGGGGGGGGGGTGAGAGCACGAGGTCGAATGTGTATGCGTGTGTGTGTGTGTGTGTGTGTGAGAGAGAGAGAGAGAGAGAGTGTGTGTTGTGTGTGTGTGTGTGTGTGTGAGGTACAGCGACATAGAGAAAGAGAACAAAACTAAACAAAAAGTATATATATTCGACGGAATGGTGATGCGAGAAAAAAATTGTTATTTTATAGACCTTTGTTGTAGGGTCCATGCATGATTATTTCAAATAAATCCTATTTCTGTACAGGCTATATAGTAACGTTCAATTTGATATTATTTTCATATAATCAGCTCTTGAGACTAACATGATTCACCTTATCATGGTTATAGCCTATGTCTTGAGATTTTATATATAAGAAAGGAAGACGTGAAATATTTTGTTCATGCAAGGTATACATTGTAAGGAAGGTTGTAAGCTCGTAGCGATCTTAACGACAGAATTTGAATTATTGACTGAGAAATATATTTAGAAAGAGAGAAGAGGAAGGAGATGAGAGGGGGTAAAATATAAGTGTAGTCCCTGTCCTTTACCCTTCCAAACATAGGAATGAAGAACAAAAATGGCCCTATTATCGAGGATTCTACTAGAGTACATGGACCTCAAACAATACTATAGCCACCACTGAAAGTCTGAATAGGTCGCCCTCTATAGAAACAAACATTATACCGCCATTAAGTTCAAAGGTGCTTATACGCTGCGCGCGCTCTCTGTGGGAAAACTCGCTTCTAATTCATAGGATGCACAAAACGCACTATATTCACAGAAGATCTACTCAAGTGTGACTTTAGTATTATATTATATATTATTTGTATTCAGGTACACATTTGAAAAGAGAATTAATACTTTTGATCAAAGTGCACCTCATAGTTCAATCAACGTGATAACTAGGTACAGAACTGCATGCAGTTAGGACGCACTTATTGCGTAGACTCTGGATATTGGTAAAAAGCTACTACGTCACTGCATATAGTTTGAGCTTGCATGGACTGACTTTTGGCTCCTTGTATACATCAGGTGATCACACTGTTAAGTTTTATTGGACGTCAATGGATATAGGCGTAGAATGAGCTCGTGTTTGTAGTTAGCAAGAAAGCCGATATTTGTACCATGGCTGAAAAGTCTGAGAAAGAGGAAGCCCCAAGCTCTTCTCACAACCTGACGTGTCCACTATGTCTTGATATTTTTGATGAGGCAACCATCCTGACTTCATGCGGACACACCTTCTGTCGGAAATGTCTCAAGAACTATGACCTATCCCACCAGGACCTTGATCACATGGTTTGTCCTCTTTGCAGGAAGACCACCAAGTTGTCTGCGAATCGTGTCGATGATTTCCTCACCAATGTGAGTGTCAACGAACTTGTAGACAATTATCACGCCAAGTGTGGAGGGATGAACGCTGTCCTTGAGATGCGTCCAGAATGCACTACTTGCAAGTTTCATCAAGATGCTGTCTCATTCTGCTGTACATGCAACAACTTCATTTGTGACAAGTGTCTGGATTGTCATCAACATCTCACAGTCTTTGAAGATCACGAGATTGTATCCATGCAGGATATCATCAACGGGAAGGTCAGTATTGGTCATCTATCCGAGAAGTGCAGCATCCACAAACAAGAGAACAAATATATGTTTTGTGAGGATTGTAAGGTCCATGTATGTCACAAGTGCGTGATCGTCGGTCATCAAAACAACATCAAGAATCAGGCCGACTTCGAGCAGGAGTTACGTCTTAAGGTAAGTGTGTTCAGCTACTATGGCTTACATGTTTTAGGACAGATGTTTCCCTCTATCGGGGGGGGGGGGGAGTGGGGGAGGCAAAATCGTTTCTGCCTCCTCCCACTCACAAGTCCAAAACTCTTTACAAAAGAAAGAGGACAATACAGGTTTTCCGTCTCCCTTACCATACACAAACTTAGGATATCATTAATATTGGGGTGTAACCATTCTCTCCCGGTCGCTTCATTTCCTTTCATCGCATATTCATAAATGCAAACTTTCTTACTAAAGCTTCAAAGCGTGGAAGCACATATTTCCCTCTATCAAATGGGCGGCTTCATTTTTCCCTTTACAAGACACAATTTTGGTTCCTTGATTTATAAAGATACAAATATGCAACATGTCTTGATCTGACTATTCGTGATTGCAGTAATGAGTGTTGACCCCCTTCAACTGGGGCCCCTACTAAGAGAAAGAAAAACTCAAGTAAATTACGTGCCATAGCTTGGGTTGATACATATTAATCTTCTTTGGCTATAAAATACAAATTTAAACCTTCCAAACTCAAAGTTATCTCAGTCAATCGCCACACTGTTTCGAAGTACATTTGATGCAGTGTTTCTTGTACTAAACAAGCCATGTACCAAAAGGTTCTCGAAACCGCGGGAAGGGGTGGGCATGTGTTAAACTTTACGAATAGAGGGAGGTTTTTTTACCCTCTGTATTGCAACAACAAACACAAATTAAGTTAAATCGCGTCGAGGTTCTAACATTTGTGAAATATCAGGAGCGCCCAAAATCTGGTATTTTAATTTCAAACTAGCCCCATGTAATTTGTAACATCTCTTTCTACAAAAACGTTCTTTTCACTTGTCTGTTATTCGTTTCGTTTAGGTGAACGACCTTGTCCAGCGTTGTGCCGCTAAGAAATCAGAACTGGAGAAGAACATTCAGAATGTAGAAGTACAACGCCACGAAGTATACACAGCCGTGCAGAAACTACTGGACGATGTAAGTAAAGCCTACAGCATCAAGGCCAAAGAGCTTGAAGAAAATCATCAAAATCTCATAGAGCAAATTTATGCAGTAAATCGAAGCTTTCATGACGACCTAGACGCCTTGAAATTCAAGGATCGTCAGAGGATTAAAAGTATTTGTAGTTCAATAACACGGGTATCTAATGACAGACTGGGTCGTCTTGAGACAGACAGTCTGTCTGCTCATACCTTGCTCTGAGGAGTTGGATGCCATGCTGAAGGAGGCTACTGATCACACTTCTGCGGCAGCCATTATGAATAAAGCACAGGAGAAGAGGTTCAAGCCTGCAGATGCTACTCGGCTGGACCTCGGGCGCATCTCAGAATCAGATCCCAAGTTGCAAGTCATTCAGTGTGTAGATCTACAGGAATACATGTGTGGAATGACTCGCTACTCTGATGATAGTGTAGCTTTCGGATATAGTAGTAAGCATGGTATAGACATCGTTGATTCAGCTGGTAAACGGGAGCAGTATGCAAACATACCAAGTAACATGAAGTGTTGTGATCTTGTGTTTCAACAAGACGGGTCATTATGCATGTCGACTGTTGCCTCTAACGCATACATAATATATTCCCCCAATGGATCATGGAAATCAACCATCTACACGAAAGACAATGGATATTCTCTCAGACTAAACAGAAGTCCATCAGATGAAATCCTCATCGCTAACAAAGAGAAGAGAGCCTATATCTATGACCCGACTGGATCCACTCTCAAACACATTGTTCCAACAAAACACAACGTGACCAGCCAGGTATCTGCTGCCAGGTCGGGTTTGATCGTCACGAGTTCGTGTAATAACCCCTATCCAAGCGTAGTGACGGTCAACGACAGGAATGGGAATGCTGGTAAGTCTCTACAAGCTCTAGACCGTGTCAACCTGTTTGCTGCCGTGGATGAGCAGGACAGGGTGTATGTAGCTCTATGAATTTGATGGTTTGAACCTGAAGGAAAGAGTTGAGTTCAATGCACATAATCTAACGTTAGGACGAACTTGGTGTTACTTGGTCAAGTTCCCTCTCGCCAGACGTGCTCGCTTTTGCTTGTTACAAGAAGTTGTATTTTATCAAAGTATCACTGTTATCCATCTCACACTCTATATTAACATTACTGGTGGTGTGTATACCTATCTGTCCCACATAAACTCATATATGGGTTTATGTTTCATATTCTATTGTTTACTATGTAATAACTAAACGAATACAAAGATGCCCATTCTCTCGATATATTTTAATTGCCTGACTACAGTTGTCATTAATGGCCCGGTCCCACCGGCCGATGGACACAAAACGTATGCATAAAGGACACAGCGGACGAGCACAATTTCGGAGGTGGCTCAATCCTTTTTTATCCGCTTCAGAAAATTTGCGAAAACAGAACGGAAAATAACGGACGTGGGTAGTATGTAGCTGGGATGTTAAATGGATGTTCATCGGAAGCCTAGCGGATGGAAGTGGATGACAGCTTTGAATACTTTATATACGAGATGCATACGCTTACATCCTTTCTAATTCCGTGCTACTAACGTTGTATAGACGTTCCATGTACCTTATCTTTCCTCCCTCTTTCCGTTTTCAGCTGCAGCGGATGTGAGTTGCGAGGATGCCCAGAGGATGCAGAGAGGATACCACGGACGTTTATAACGGACATATAACGTTTGTTGCTCGTATTTGTCGCGGATTTACATCGTACACGGCGGAAGTTCATCCGTTCTAAAAGTTTTGTGCAGCTCAAAACTTTTTGCGCGGATGAAATCACAATGGACGGATGCTCGATGGATAGAGCGTATGAAACACGTATGCAATGAGTACACAACGGATGCATAGCGTTTTCTAACGGATGGCAAGATTTGTTTACGTTTTACATCCTCTTTGCATCCGTAAGTGCAGTGGGATCGGGCCTTATCCAAAATAATGATAACTTCCCTCACTCGAAGTAGTATGTAAATAGGTAATAATATACATATACTTCTTGCATTGTGTAATTTTTTACCAGTATGTTTTAAGATCAGCGAATACAGATAAACTAAAGCTTTTCGTCTTTCACTCACTGTTCTCGCGATTTATTCTGATAAGTGCAAGATAAAAACCTTTAATATATCAGTATTCGTTGCTATATTCTTTGATTGATATTTCATTCGTTTGTGTGTATGAGGAAGCAAATACTGACTAAAAATTGTACTGTGGAGCAAACAAAAAGTTTTAAATATCAATATTCCCTTATCTCCTTTTCCTGTCATGGAAGTGAAAGATACTATTTCCCTTTTGCAGCCAACATCAAATTCTGTAGAACTTTGCAGGAATTATGAATATGTCATGTATGTGCTATCTGTGAAATTTAAACAGTGTCCTAGTATTCAAATTATGCAAGGAAACCCGTTTAACTTCTAGACTTCACTGTCAGACACTATTGAGTGACTGACTGACTGACATCTGTTTTCCTCTGGTAATAACATACATAAAATGAGCTGTAACAGGAGAATGAGCATTTGTCTACATCAATAACTCACTACTTGTAATCGCCCAAATTAAACTGATTAAATCTTTGTACCGCACAAAGCGTACGACCATTTGATAAAAGGGTCTGAAAATCAGACTATTACTCAGGTGATTGCAATCACTTAAGTCGATTTGACAACTAGTGGTCGTTATTTTCCCACTACAAGCCATTTCCAAGGCCATTCGTTTGAGGGAAGTTCTAAATTAGTATTGTCTTTCAAGTGCCGTTGGAATTCAACCTTTTCATTTGTTTGGCCTGCAAATGAAACATAGTACTTTTAAGAGGTACCTAACACTTGAGACTCACTTTGCACTGTAAGCATGGTGAGGGGTGATATGAGCTATGGCGGGATGTGGGGCCCACCATAGATCGGTACACTTGCATCATGGGGGCCCGGGGGACCAGTCTTACACCTAGAATTAAATGCGAATTAACAAACCCACCGCTTAGGAAAAGGTAGTCCAGAATCTGGTCGGTTATTTATATTCTCTACACTTGATACAGGCTGCCGAAGATGGCGTTATCAACGAACTCATACGCTCACCAGTCACCATCCCTATCAATCAATGGCCCAGCCTAACAACAACCAGGCTTCCTAATTTAAGGATCACGCCATCTCCGGCTGCCAGCGAGTGAGTACGGGAGGTCGCATTGCGTTGGTGTGGTGTAGATCAAAATTAAATCAGCCAGATTTTGGACTAAGGGAAAGGGTGCAGGATCGGGTATTACCATCTCCATCCACCTTTTCTTATCTCTTCTTTTTTCGCCACTCTATGAGGTTAGGGGGATGCCGCCCCGTTCCCACCTCGTATTCTACGCCATTAAATAAAAGGCATTGGGTAGACTTACGTATTGTAGAGGGTGGTGTCGGGCCTCCAGATTTGCGTGGCGGGAAACCGTAGCTCAGAGGTTCCTCGATAGTCTGCCGGGTCCCATTGGAGTAGCTGGTCAGTCCAACTCTAACAAAGGACACCAACAAAAAATTAAAGAGGGTTTTGAATTCATAAGGTACATAAGACACAAACACTTTTCAATAAGGCTCAATTGGCGCAAGATATAACGCTGTCGGAATAATGTTTTTTCGCCAAATTTGTTTAACTTAATTCAAGTTGTAGAGAATCCATTTGATTATATAACAGTTATTAAGGGGAAATTATTGTTGTAATTGTTTTCTCACTATGGAAAGGTGGCACTTCTGCGTTAAATATTTATAACTTTGTGTTAAACTTTTACGAAGTTTAATACCATGAAGAAATATTATTATTATCATCATCATTATTAATAGTGGTATTACTAATACCACTTAATGATAAATATGTTATTACATTACACAGATTCAGGTTTGGATAACACTATTTAATAGTAAATTGTAAATAGAAGCAGGCTTAATTATTGATTAAACTGAAGATTTCCAATTTTCTCTTTGTTTTATTCAAGATAATTGGGATGAATTCCATTATATTTTCATTTGCCCATTTGTATGTATCTAAAACGTCATTTTGTTGGACAGTCAAGTGTTCAAGGAATGCGAATGGCCAGTCAATCCTTTTCATATAAAGCAACTCATTAAATTAATCGTAACACTTATTCAGCATTTTTCTCACACTTACGAAAGAGCTCTTGACTCAAACACAGATATGTAGGTACAGTTAACCAAATTATTCATACCCTTACCAGGATTTGTAATAGTATTTAAGTTTATGTAAAATTGATTTGTCTCGATATAAGTTTCTTAAGAATGTGACGTAGTAAAGCTTACTTCTAAAAGTATTAAACAAAGTCATTAATTCAACCAGTCCACCTTTCATTCCTAAATTAGGGGGAACAAAGTCATCTAATGTACAAGGAGATAAATGATTCCTTTTTTAAATGTATATAAAAAAAGTAATATCAAGTAGTAGTAGAGGAGTTAAGCCACCTTCACAGCTTGACTTGTAAATATGTTCTATATGTAGTTTCCCATCACTTTTTTATGTTTATAACAATGATGATTGATTTTTATTCGACAAGCTTCCAACATACAACAATATACAATAATAACAGATCAAAAAAAGTCAGCTTGAACAGGATAACCCACGAAAGCTCGAGAGCTTATTTCCAGTGGGGTCCCTTACAGACATGTATAAAATTAATAAGTTAAAATAGTAATATTTACAGACAGATAAGAAAATTAAAAGAACTACTTATTAAAGATAATAATAACAACATTTAAACTGATGATAGAAATGATATTAAGTACAAGAAGAAAAAGAAGAAGGGGAAGAAGAAAAAGAGGAGAAGGAAGAAGAGGAAAATAATGATGAATTTGTAGAAATTCTATAACGTACGAAAACATAAGTATATACAACATGAAAAAGTATGAACCGACAGAAGAATAAAAATTTCAATCATATAACATGTCATTCACTTCTCTTCTCTGACTGTCAAGTATTAGGTATTCCTTTAATTTCCTCTTAAAATGATCATAGTTTCCTATTTCTTTTACACCATTGGGAAGGGAATTCCAATGTTTTATGGCATTGTAATAAAACGAATTTCCAATACTACCTACTCTTTCAGGTAAGTTAAAGTTGAATCGTCTATTTCTTGTATTATAATCATGTACGTCAGTAACAAGATCGAAGTTGGATCGAATATAATGATTCGACCTAGTATGGTATATTTTATGCACATGATGCAATACGAGTTGTTTTGATCTTTGGTCGACTTCAAGAAAACCAGCTTTAGAAAGTTCGCTGTAGCCAACATGAGTTCTTGGACCAGAACAGTTGATAAATCTCACCATTTTGTTCTGTATAATCTTCAACTTCTTTTGATCTGACTTGTTTATGTTACTATACCATGCAGGGTTAGCATAGTCAAATAAACATTGAATAAGAGCAAAACAGAGTGTACGTCTTGCTTTTAAATCCATACAACTTTGATATCTGTACAAAAATTTCAGACGAGAATTTGCTTTTTTTACAACTGATTCTACTAAAGATGAAAATGAAATTGCGCTAGCCAACTCAATGCCTAAATACTTCACAGACTCTTTTCTCTTGATTGCTTGATTATTGTGTGTCACTTTGAATTCAAATGACTTTTTAGAACTACTTTTAGAACAAAATAAAATGCTTTCTGTTTTTCCCAAGTGTAAAGAAAGCTTATTATCAGTCATCCAATCGACACACGTAGACAGCTGTTCACTGAGCTTTTCCTCAATATATTTAGGATCAGGATTTGAATAGAGTAGTACGCTGTCATCTGCGTACAATAATAGTTTGAAGTCTTTAAAAAACTTTTAACTTGTAATATTATGATTGTTAGTAATTTGTCATATTTTTAGATTATACACAAATTATTTATTCTAAATTTATATTAAATGTATAACTTGATAGGTTTACGAGTTTGATTGTACTCTTATACCCCGAAAAGGGGTCGAAAGAGTCAATCACTAATCAACAAATCTACGAGTAGTATAGTAGCAGTAGCAGTAGTTGCAGGGGTATCATCATTATCAACATCATCTTCATCATCATCATTTATATACCTACCTGATTTATTTGAATATTCAGCTTCAACATTTGGTCACGTTCATCCTGTTGAAGATAAAATAGGAATGGGAGAATTACAAGGCGGTAAATGGGTGAGTGTGATGCTCGTTCAGGTGTGGCGCGGTCAACCGCCGCAAAAACAGGGCCCTGTTTCATAAAACTTGTTATCTATAACAACTGCTAAATTTCTATGACAAATTTGCTCTCAGCCAATCAGATGCCAGGATTTCAGTAGCTTATAACAGTAGCTTGTAACTTGTTATTGATATCAAGTTTTATGAAACAGAGCCCTGAGGTCTTTTATTTTATGTGTGAATGAATGGCAACTGCGCGCAGTAAAGGACGTGCGCGTATCCACTGAGCTCAGTGTTATAACTAAAGGAATGTGAATCGTGTTACACTTTAACAAAATAAAGAAAAAAATGTTGCGGTTGTGCAGCGTCATATCTAAACGAGGATTCAGGAGGGGGACAAAATATCAGAAAAATAATCGTATTTTAGGCATTCGTTTTTTACTCACTATCACGATTATTACTCACAATAGGTACTGAAGTTGTAGTTGTATCATTTTGCGGTAATAATGCACGTACTGTATGAAATAAAAGTGGATCTGAACCTTATCGAGATATACAAATTGAATTCAAAGATATTCAACATATCAAAGCTCCTGCATACACTTGTACGTGTTTGTATTTTGTTTGCAAACATAGACACGCGTTTATTTACAACACCGAATATTATACAATGTTCGGGCAATATTTAATGATAAACATATAAGTTGAATGTCATCACGATTCAAATACATAAAGTGATATATCCTTCTCCTCATTATATCATCCTGCTTCCTCCCTACTGCTCCTATTATCTCCTCTGCTCCTAATTCATTCGCTCCGATTCCTCTTTCTGCCTTAGTTTTTCCCTTATGGTACTTTTTCTTCTATTTAGTTATTCCTTTTTTTTTTTTCCCTTCATTTTCTTTCTTTCCATTTCCCTTTATTTTCAACATCCCTCTTTTACTCTTGCTATCATTATCACTGCTTGAGATATCCTCCTCTCACGTGCTCATATTCAATCCTTTCTTTCTTCCCTCACCTCTCTCTCTCTCTCTCTCTCTCTGTCCCTCTTTCTCTATCTTCCATCTTTCCCCCTCCCTTTCAATATCTTCCTCTTTCTCTCTCCCTCTCTTAGTCTGATCCTCTATTAACTTATGTGCTTTTATACCAGCTGATAATGTCGATTTATTTTGGTTTAAAATGTACGAGAGTATTTTTTGATATATTATGTTACTTATTTAAACCGGAAAAAGAAAACTCATCAATAAATGACAAGGCCACTTCTGCTGGCACTTTGTCCGCTAAAATCAATGTCGTGTCATCTGCATATTGAGTTAATTTAATCATATAATCACGTACAAGTAAACCTTTAAAATAATCTATTTGTCTGATCTGACATGCAAGTGATTCAAAACAGAGTATAAATAAATAAGGCGACGAGGGGTCTCCCTGTCGGACACCTCTTTGTAATTCAAAATATCCTGATGAATGTCCTTGCTACAAATAAAATTGCGAATATTTGTGTAAAATGACTAAATACACTTCTGGCCAACACCAAATTTATCAAGAATATTTAAAATAAAATCTCACTCCAGTGAATGAAATTCCTTTTGATAGTCTAAGAATAAAAGAAGACCTGGGGAGTGTTTCACAAAGATCCTAAGTAGAACTTAACACTAAGTTGGACTTAAAAAGTATGGACAGCCATTGGAGCCTTAAAATGAAATATATTCAAAAGCAAAAATTGGAGTATTTTAGACTTTTCATCAATTCCACATCAAGAACATGAACTCTCCCATGATAATAGAAAATATGAATGATTTGAATCAACATTTTATGCATTCTAAAACAAAATTACAAAATGTTTTCAAGGATGCTAATGGCTTCCCATAAATTTTAAGTCCAACTTAGAGATAAGTTCAACTTAGGATCTTTGTGACACACCCCCCTGGAATGAAATTGTCTTTGTATATAGAACATAGTATCTAAAATAGTTAGAATTGATTCGCCCATGTAACGAACTTTTATGAAACCTGTCTGACATGCTTTTATTAACCTTGGTAGAATTTCACGAAACGGGTAGCAAAAACTTTCGATGCAATTTTAATATCAGCATTGAGTAGTGATATTGGTCTCCAATTTTCCAGGTACCGTTCATCCTTTCCCTTTTTTCTAATCAGAGTGATAATTGCTGTTTTTTGCTAAATGATATTGCTTATTCTTCGTCATCTTCTGCAACATTTTACCTTCATACCACCTGCGCTCATCCAGAGGGCACCACAACTCTGAACCCGATGTTCTGAACCACGCGGTTGCGATGATCCCCATAAGATCTACTCAACAACAAACACATCACTTTAAAATAGGTCATCAGAAATTGGCAGCATGTTCTTCCACTTCTTCTCCCCATTTCTCCTCTGAGATCTTGCTTGTCTTTATTCATCTTCTGTAATATTTTCCCCTCATACCACCTGCGCTCATCCAGCTCGCACCCAAGCTCTGTACCCAATGGCAATGTTTCCCGAGCATTATGCATGCGGTTGCGGTGGTCCCACTACGATCTTCTACTCCTCAACAAACATATAAAGAGGTCATCATGAAATGACATATCATCAATATTCATCACCTAGCTGTCGAGTACATAGACCTTTCCTGGGTTACCTGTCGCGTGGGGATTTCCCCGCGATTCCGACGCGGTTGCACGACACTTAATTCACACTTTCCGAATTCCTATCCTCAACTCTAGTAACTAAAACGAAGCCTAAGTCCCAGTGAGTTGGTCTAGCGGCATATTCACCTGGTAAACTCTGTCTTCGCCTACAAACTGACTCCGTCGGCCTCGGTTCGAAAGTGAGTCACGTCTTTCGGATGGTGACGTTAAAGGTCGGTCCCCAGATGTAAATAATCATATTACATTCTCGTTTGATTTGTGTGTGCTTTTTACTAATTCTAATGCGTATTATTCTTATATTTTAGTTTTATACCGTTTTTACCTTTGCTTGCGACCTTTGGTGATTTTCAATATTTATATTTCCGTGTATTACATTTTTTATGTTCGGGACCAGGATGTAAAACGTATTTTGTATCTACAATGTATATCTGATTCTTGTTATCCTGATTAAATATATTTCGATAAAAATAAATATCTGATTTAATACACACGTCTCTAAAAGCCAATCACTCACACACCCAGTGCACACTACACGTCCTGACTGCGTTCCAATTTTAAAAGAATTCAAAACAGTATTTTATGTGAACATTCAAGCAATTTAAATCTTAATGATCGAGGATCTGATTAGCCACGTAATTAATGAAATCTAAAATTGTTGGGGATTTCAAGCTTCCTTGAAGAGGGAAAAGCTAAATCGGCCCCGAATCGTAGTGACGTCAGACCAGTATTACGATTGTTTACGATTTGAAGCTGATTTGGCATTTTTTATTACTAGAAAGCATAACGGCACTAAAATTCGAGTTGTTAGTATTCTTTTCTTTATTCACAGTCTAAATAAGCAAAACGTTCGTTGTTTAGATTTCCATGACTAATAAAAATTGCCATTTCTTCAAGAATCGGATCGCATTCTGATCGCGGAGTGTCCGCCGGGCTCATGAAAGCCTAACCTTCACCCAATTGCAACCCTAACCCTATACTCTTGATGAAATGAAGCTTGGAGCGATTCTCGCGGGAGCAAAATGTCGGATCACTAATGCGGTCTGATTTGATTCGAATATCATAAGCTATCCATAGGGAGTGGAGTATTACATTTAGCCTTGCTAGAAATCGCAGCGTTATTATCTCAGAGCATACATGTATTTATTACCTGATTCAAATAAGATACTAACATATAAATATGTGAATGTCCAGTCAGGCAAATTCAAAAGAAATGCACACCAATCATCATGGAAATCACAGTATATAGATTAAAACATTACATTAGTTCAGTGTTATTGAACATTTAACATTTAGACAGATTGGTAATATTTCACTGAATTGATATACTTTGATAAAGACCTAATTTAACAAACACAGGGCAAAGGAGTCAATACTATAGCCCCCCTCTCGAATCTGCCAATTTAACTGCTATATTTCCCACCGTGTCCATCATAATCATCATCATCACTAACTAATATTCATTGAATCCGATGACCGGGGTAATAGTATATATATATCTGTAAGGCGCTTTGATATGGCCCTCCTGAAAAAAGCGCCATATAAGAAATAGTTATTATTATTATTATTATCGTCACCTTCCAAATTTCGAAGCTTTTGCATTCTCGATGTCCCTCTGCGTGTGCCTCAAGGACGTCTAATTATACAATATCCTTGTGAAAACGATTCCCAGCATTCACGTCTTCGATGACTCGTTGATCTCCCTCAAGATTCCACAAACGGAACAAACAATCCTGCTTCCTCCTTCGAAATGTGCATATCGATGCTACTCTGGGCTGCATTCTCATAACTTTCACGAGGACAATTTTGTTCCCTATTTCCGCTACTGCCGTTTTTTGTGTGGTTACTTTACGTGTGTTTTTGTGACAAGTTCGTATAATGACAGCTGTACCCGACGTGTGTAATTATGATTTCTATAATTATATCTATGACGATCAGACATAATTATTATCACGGTGTTTAAAACACACAATTAGGCGCCATTTTAGTTGCGCTAATCAAACCAATTTAGTGCATGTGTCAGTATATGCAACGGAATTATAAATTGCGCTGTTCATTTGCATTTACTTTTGCATTCACATCTTAAATTGCATTTTACTTTTACAAATCTTGGTCTGAAACGCGTCAGAACGCGTCATATGACGCACATAAACCTAGGTTTGCCTCACACGGCGCATTAAAGTTTATACAGGTTGTTGACGCAGTCCTACGTCATGAGATAACGCCTCATGAGCAATAGGTCTTTTACATTTTTTGTTGAGCCAATGTCCCAAATGTGACTACCGGGACCAAACAATCTTACAACTTTCATCATTAGGATCCCC